TCCCCTTCTGGTACCCCTATAATTCGGATGTTGGAATATTTAAAGATGTCCTGGAGGTTCCTAAGCCTCTCCTCATTTTTTTAAATTCTTGTTTCTTCATATTTTTCTGTTTGGTCATTTTTTTCTTCCTTCTGGTCTGCTCCCTTGATTTGAGTCCCAGTTTCCTTTCCATTACTATTGGTTTCCTGTGCATTTCCATTCACTTCAATTAGCTTAGCCTTCGTATGTTCCTTTAATTTGTGACTAAAATCAACCAGTTCTGTGAGCATCCTGATAACCAGTGTTTTAAACTGTGCATCTGAAAGTTTGGCTATTTCTTAATTGCTTAGATTTATTGGCTCTGGGGCTTCGAGTTCTTCTTGAGCCATGTTTTGATCTGTTTGTGCCTGTTAAATATGAAGAGAGGCGCCTTTGGTGTTCACCAGGGTGGGGCCACCCAGGTGGCAGGTTTGTGATGCTGTATGTGGGGGCGGGGTCAGAGAGGGAGCAATGGCGGTCCTCTCTGCTCACCTGGTCCACCTCACCATTCGCCCCTGCCTGTTTATCTGAGCACAAATGTGCAAGCCCACTGCCCTGTGCCAGGGCCTGTGCGGCCTGTCTCAATGCGCGTCTCTTCACTGGTTTATCTGCATGCAAATACGTGACCTCAGACAGCCAGCTGCGCCACGCCTTCCCGTAGCTACCCTGCACCTGGGATCCACACCCTCGGCTGCTTGGGTACAGCCTGGGTCGGGGATCGTTTTTGCCCGACCAGCTCTGCTGCTGGCTTCGCCCCTCTCACCAGTTTAGCTGAGCGTTTTGTTGTTTTCGGACTCCGTATTGTTCGACTTTCTGTGATTTGGTTGCGTTTATTGTTGTTAAAACTTTGTTGTTTTTAGATTTGGTTGTGTGAGGAAGCAAAGTGTTTCCACCTAAGCCTCCATCTTGGCAGAAGTCTCTATAAAGTGATCTTGAAAGTCTTCCTTCTGCTTGAAATTTTTAAAAGAGTTTGAAAAGGAGAGGTATTAATTCCTTTTTGAGTGTTTGGTAACATACACTTGTGTGTAGCCATCTGGTTCAGGATATTTGTTTTAGGGGAGTTTTTATTTATTACTGCTTTGATTTCATTGGTCCCAATTGTCCAATTTGTTGTTTATAATATTTTCCTATACTTTCGTTTTATTTCTGTGGTGTTAGTTGTCACTTCCCCTCTCATTTTTCTTTTTATTTATTTGAGTTCTCTCTTTTTTTGATGTGTCTGGTTAAAAGTTTGTCAATTTTGTTTATCTTTTCAAAGAACCAGCTCTTGGTTTTATTAATTTTTTGTATTTTATTTAGACTTTTGTTTATTTACGCTGACTCTTATTTTTTCCTTCTACTCACTTTGAGCTTTGCTTGTTTATTATTTTTAGTTCCTTTAGGTGTAAGGTAAGATTATTTGAATTTTTTTTTCTGGTTTCTCGAGATAGGCCTGTGTTGCTATGAATTTCGCTCTTAGGACTGCTTTCACTGTGTCCAATAAATTTTAGGTTGTTATTTTCATTTTCTTAAGGTATCTTTTGATCTTTCTGATTTTAATGTTAAATCATTCATTGTGTAGTAACTTGTTATTTATCCTCCATATATTGATATGTTTATCAGGCATTTTTGTACTTGATTTCTAATTTCATACTTTCGTGGTCACAGAACATGCTTGATATTATTTCTGATTTCTTAAAGTCCCCTATTATGACTGTGTTATTGTCAGTCTCTTCTGTATGTCCATCCATGCTTGGTTTATATATTTAGGTGCTCTTGTGTTGGGTGTATATATTTTTACAAGGCCTATATCCCCTAGTTTGATCAACACCTTTTTTATAATATCGTGTCCTTTTTTTTCTCTTATTATAGCCTTTGTTTTAAAGTCTGTTTTGTCTGATATAAGTATTGCTGCCCCAAGGGCTTTTTTTGTTTATTCACAGTTGTACTAAATTATATTTTCATCCCTTAAAGTCTTTGTGTGTTTTTCAATCTGAAGTGGTCCTATTGTAGATAGCACATAGAGGTGAGGGGAAAAGTAGGTTTACAATTTTGGCTGTGGGAAACACAGAGTTTATTGTTATATTATTATTTATTTATTTATTGTTGTATTATGTATTTGTCTTATTATTTTATTATTTTGTATCCTTTATTATGATTTATCTTTTAGGTAACGATGGCTAGTAATATAAATTACTTGTTCCTCATTCTGTATATATGTATCTTGTTTTCTTATCAGTTCAGCTACCCTATGTATTTTGATTGGAGAATTTAATCCATTTACATTTAAAATGATTATTGGAGATCAAACTTTTATCCAAGATATCATTTGCAAGTATATTTTCCCATACAGTTCTTTTTTTTTAATTTTGCTGATGTTTTGTTTAGTTGTGCAGAAGCTTTTTATTTTGATAAAGTTCCATTTGTTTATTTTTTTCCTTTATGCCCCTTGCTCTAGGGGACATATTGGTGAAAATATTACTGCATGGAATATCTCATATTTTCCTGCCTATGTTCTCCTCTAGAACTTTTATGGTGTCAAGACTTATATCTAAATCTTTTATCCATCTTGAGTTTATTTTCTATGTGGTGTAAGCTAGTGGTCGAATTTCATTTTTTTATTTGTAGCTGTCCAGATCTCCCAACATAATTTGTGGAAGAGGCTATTCTTACTCCATTTTATGCTTCTGCCCCCTTTGTTGAATATTAATTGACCATAGACACATGAAGCACCTACCCTTTGTGACAGCAAGGATGAAACTAGAGAGCATCAGGCTAAATGAAATAAGCCAGGCGATAAAAGACAAATACCTTATGATCTCACCTATAAGTAGAACCTAATCAACAAAAGAAGCAAGCAACCGAAATATAACACCAAGACATTGAAATAACAAACTGACAGTAACCAGAGGGGAGGAGAGGGAGGGGTAATGGAGGGAAACAGAAGATGGGTCATCAATGAACATGTATAAAGGACACATGAACAAATCCAAAGAGGGTAGGTTCAGGGGTGGGAGGTGTGGGTGGGCGGGGCAGAGGGACATAGTGGGAGAAAAATGGGACCAACTGCACTTCAACAACAATAAAAAAGAAAAAGAAAGTGATTATTGATAGGTTTGTATGTATTGCCATTTTGTTCTTTATAATTATGTTCCTCTTTTCTATCTTCTTAAACACTCCCTTTAACGGTTTTTTATAATTAACTGGTTTAGCAGTAATGAACTTCTTTAGCTTTTTCTTGTGTAAGAAACTAGCTATTTATTTACTTATTTATTTAAATTTTAAATCATAGCCTTGCGGGTAGAGGTGTCTTGATTGTGTGACTGTCCTTTTCGTCACTTTGAATATTTAATGCCAATCCCTTCTGGCCTGAAATGTTTGCATTGAGATATCAGCTGACAGTTTTATGTGCACTTCCTTGTAGGTAACTGTTTCTCTCCTGTTGCCTTTAAGATTCTCTCTTTGTCTTTAAACTTTGCCATTTTAATTATAATGTGTCTTAGAATAGGCCTCTTTGGGTTCCTCTTGTTTGGGACTCTGTGTGCTCCCTGGACTTGTGTGTCTGTTGTTTGTTTTTTTTTACCAGGTCAGGTTCAATTTTCAGTCATTTATTCAAATAGGTTCTCAATTGTTTGCTCTCTTCTGGTACCGCTCTGATGCGGATGTTGTTAAGCTTTCTGTTGTCCCATAGGTTCTCTCTTTTTTATTGTATTTTTAATTTTCTGATCGAGTCTTTTCTGACTTCTCTTCCAATTTACTGATTTGATCCTATGCTTTATCTAAACTGTTTTTAATTCCTTCTAATGTATTTTTCATTGTATATGTTGTCTTATAATTTCTGACTGGTTCCTTTTATATTTCAAGTGTACAGTTCTGTAATACATCATCTGTATATTGCATTGTGCTCAACACCCAAAGTATAGTCTCCTTCTGTCACCATATATTTGACTCTCTTTATCCTGCCCTACCCTCTTGTAAGTACCATATTGTTGTCTGTGTCTATGAGTTTGTTTGTTTATTCGTTTGTTTGTTACTTCCTTTTATATCCCATGTATGAGTGAAATTATATGGTTCTTGTCCTTTTCTGTTTTACTCATTTCACAAAGATACTCTTGCAAACCAGGAGGATCCTGTGGACCTGGGAGACTTAATCAGGAAGTCTGGACTACGAGGCTACTCCCTTTTGTCAAGGCATTGTTTAAGTTCATAGCTTCATATTTGGCTTTCCTAATCTTCATCATCTGTTCTTTTCCAACATGCACTTTTTAATACAGCCTTTTATTTAAAATAGTTTTGTTCCTCACAAAACTGTTTATTTGGTGGTATTATTTACTGAATTTTATTTCAGGCTTCAGGAAATTTTTTCTGGGAATGTGTCGTTTCATGGTAAATAAAACTACCTATGCCTGAATTATGAAGCAAGAGGACTGGAAATGCAGTCATATATAGGTTTTTATAACTATTGCCCTATGGACTTAAAAATTGGGGGGCATCTCATCATGTCACTGGATATCTACCAGGCCTTTGTTTTACTGCCAGCTAGAACACTGGTTTTTATTCTGTTGGGATATTTGTGTCTGTAAATACGCACCTTCTCAGAGAAAACCCCTTATTATTATTTTCAGCATAATGTTACAGTGAAGCTTTTCTCAATATTGAGTGTCCAAGCAAAACATAGTAGCTGTTATGGAAGACAAGGGAAGTAGATGCTCTTTCTGGAAAACAGTAATGTATTTGATTCGAAAGGATGACCTTCTTTGTGTGCTTTTAAACCTTATTTGGCTTTAGTTTTATGGCCAAAGAGAATTGTCTCCTATATTTTCCAGTTAGTGATCAAACACCTACCTGTACAAATCTAAAAAAGTGTATGTGGAATTCAACTTCATTAATCTTGGTTCATCCATTTAGGAAGCTAACTACAATGGATTTCTAGTGAAATCTTGATTTCTGTATTGAATTAAAGATTGCCTCCTAAAAGAACAAATGTGAATGCTTTTTTGTAGAATCTGCCTTCTCGTGCAAGATGCCTATGGAATGTTCAGTGAAGTGCACTTGGAAGAAACCACCCTTAAGGACAGACATTTGGAAGGGAAGTCCTGCAGCCTAGCAGGAATGAAAGTTCTACAGAAGGCCACCAGAGGAAGGTGAGGACACATTCTAATAGCATCCTGTTTGCTGCAATCTGGTTCTTTCTTTTCTTTTTTTAGATTTTATTTATTTATTTTTAGAGAGAGGGGAAGGGAGAAAGAGGAGAGAAACATCAATGTGTGAGAGGACCATTGAGTGGTTGCCTCTCACACATACACCAGCTCGGGACCAGGCCCACAACCCTACAACCCAAGCATGTGCCCCAACCGGGAATCAAACCAGCAGCCCTTCACTTTGCGGGAAATGCCCAACCAACTGAGCCACACTAGTCAGTTGCTGGTTCTTTAATTAGTCTTTTATATCTAATTTTATTTTTAAAGACAGTAAAATAGGATTTGGGAGTTCTCCTGTAAAACAAGGCCCAGGTTTAGTGGATCCCATAAAGTACTTCTGGAGGCGGTGGGGAATGATAATTGACAATAAAAACAATTATGCGGGTTTAGCAATTCATAATTTTACTAAAATTAAGATTTTGTAATATTATATATATATTTTTAATTCCAAAGATTTATTTTCTGTATATTTTCCTAGCTCTACCAATAAGGCAGCTTTATGTGAGTTTACTTAAATGAAATTTTGTAAAGAGGCATCATAAAAACTAAACTCTTACCGCTTCTCGGCCTTTTGGCTAAGATCAAGTGTTAAAAGCTAAACTCTTAAGTTGTTGCATATTTTTATTTTCGTAGTTGAAAGCTTTGTTCTCTGTCACCTTTTATGTCTCCTCATCCTAAATTGATGTTTTGGATAGGCAAAGGTGGAACAGCACAGAAACGTGGCCCACACTGTGACTGTGCTGTCTCTAGTAATCATCTTACTTCTGTCACATAGAGCGTTAGTGTAAGCCATGAATTGGGGATTTTCTCAATCTTCTTGTAATCTCTCTTTCCTCAGATATTATATTATCATGACTCGATGTTAATGTTTTGTTTAATTATAGTAACATCTGAGCATATAACAGTATCTGTGGGACACATTCTGATTTTAAAGCAGTTATTGATAGCATCTGTCAGAGGTTTATATGATGACCATTCTGATCATCATTCTAAATTGTGAGCATCTGCTGAACTTTTCTCCTGACCGACCTCTACACATACTCAGCTTTCCCACGGGCCTCTCATCTGTCTTTTCCTATGTCTGCACAGATGGGTGATGGCTCTGCCCATGAGATTGTTTTTTGAAAGATGGATATATCATAGACAGATCCCCTATAAGCCCTGGGGAGATACAAGACTATTTTATTGATTCACGTGGATTTGTTTGTAATAAATGCTTTCTTTTGTTTATAAAGGGGTAACTGTATTATAATATAATCACCTTATAGATAGGGGCAGGAGGGTGGTACCCAGATATTTGGAAAACATACTAGACATGTGAAAAGCTTCGTTGGGTCATATGAGCTGTATCCTTATTCAGGCTGAACCTCATTTTAGTCCTCAGAATCCTAAGCATCTAAAAAGACTAAGTGTAGTTATTGTAGAAGATATCACTGCCTTGGCATTGACCTGACAACATAAACCCCATCAGGGCCATCTAGGAAGTTGTCTTCCTTGACATGAGCTATACACATGAGCCTCTCACCTGAGCACATCGGCTCAGGATACCTGTAGGCTCCTCATGGCAGGACAGCTGTCAGGTTTCCTGGTGTGCTGCAGGCCAAAGGGAGACTGCTCTGCTCCAGGAGATACTCTTCTTGCTAAAAACTAAAGGACATAACTTCTTTTGGAAATACTATAGCCAGGACTGGACTTCAGGGGTCTTGGGCTCTGTAAATTTTGTTCTTTTATCATTATGGGTACCTAATAATATTTAATTTAGTTTTTTGTCAGTAACACTGGAAGTTTTACTCCTATCTACAGTATTACTATAGGAAATGTTTTTTCCATGGGAAATGCACTGAGTAGTTCAAATTCATTTACAAACAAACTTTTGGAAGCCACTCCTTTTCTAAGTTGGTGACTAAATATCTGATCATTTTTGTTAGCTCTGGACTTCTTCATCTTTGATATTATTTTGTCATGCATTCATCCAAATAAATAATTAGATTGTCTTTTTGTTCTTTTGGAGGCTGTATTTTTTCAAAGCAAATTATTAAATAGTTTTGGAATGCTGGGTGTTATCATTGCATATTAGTGATGTCATCTGTTGTCAGTCAGTCATCCATCAGTGGCCCAGTAAACACAAATTGTCCCTTTTTTTTCCCCAAATTACTGTGTTTCTTAGCAACTCTCATAAACCTTAACAAAATTTACTTTTCATAAACTTTAATAAAACACACTTCCAAAAATTCAAGCTAAAGTGATTAATTATATAATCCCAATGTCTAAGACTGAAAATAATTTTTTGGCCAGTCAGAGGAGGATAGTAGTATGTTTAGGCTAAATCATGGAGTCGTTTAGATCTTGGCTACCAGCTTGCCTCTGGTCCACAGTTATAGTGACAGAAAATCACTGCTCCCAACAATGGCTTTGAAGTGGACTGGGGACCTCAGAGCTGGTCAGTCAGACCAGCTTGCTGTTGGACTGCTCTACAAGGAGCACAGTTATGTCTACCTGCCTCATTTGGAAAGGTTCACAGAAAAACAGCCATCATACCTTTTGTTTCTCTAACATATTGTTGGAGTTGAGTATTTATACTGACTGGTTAAAGTAAGAAGAATAAAAAAACATAGCCTAGATTTAAAGGAAAAAACTAGCATTTTCAAAACAACCTTTGGCGTGCTTGCTCAGCAGGATGTGGAGCTCCGCTTATGCTTTCCTTACTCCAAAGTGAGGTTCCCTGATATTGACTCAGCAACGCTCCTAAGGCGTTTCTCAACCTTTGTCCTCTCAAGTGGCCTGTGCAGCGGTTTAGTAGGTCAGACAAGCTGAAAAGTAACAGTCCATTGGTGTCATTCTATGTACGAACTTTATCGTTTTATTGCTGATTATTATGTTCTTTTATTTTTATGTGATAAGGCAATACTGGGTGATGGGGAGAAACTTCCTGAAATATATTAACCCTATACATACAGAAAATATAGCTAGCAAAATTTTTTGGTGAGGGCATTCAAAGTCCTGCTAGTATTTATGTCTAAAATTATTAAAACTACTAATCTCTGTCTAAAATATTATTACTTTATAGGTGTTATGTTATTTAGATCTCTCGAATGGCCCTTTAAGAGTAGTGTGTTGGAGGGAACTTTATTACAGAGCTTAATCAGTAGTGACTGTACACAGAGGGCTCTACCCGAATGTTGAGAATGACAAGGAAGCAGTAGGTACCATCTTTGGCTTTGAATTGCATCTCTTAGAACAGAAAGCCAGACAGCCACAAGTAGTAGCAAAGCAGTTGATGCTTCAAGTGATGAGATCTTAACTGGCTCCTCTCAGAAGGTTTCATGAAAGGAGTGAGAACAAAGGCTTTAAACATCTTGATCTGGCAGAAGGAAAAGTTCTCTTCAAATTTGTAAAATGCTACCTATGAAAACATAAGAGTAAGATTTGGAAAGATGTATGCAAAAGAGGAAGAAAAAGGCAATTCACTGGTTTATTATGTGAATATTCAGTGCTGTGGTTGCTGCAGCATTGAGCTTCCGTGCGGGGTTTCAGGGATCTGTCCTAGACCAGAATATATTGAGGTATAAAGTTAGCTGGATAGAACTGAAAAAGCCTTAAGCCCTATAGAGATTGTGCATTGATCCAAAAAAAGATTAGGGTCACTAAGACCCTAAAAGAAAAGAAGTAATAAAAATGAAAATGAGCCCTGGCCGGGTGGCTCAGTCGGTTAGAGCATTATCCCCATACACCAAAAGTTCATTGGTTTGATTCCCAGTCAGTGCACATACCTAGGTTGCAGGTTTGATCCTAGTCAGGTCATGTATGAAGGCAGCTGATCAGTGTCTGTCTCTGTGTCTCTGCCTCCCTTCCCCTCTCCCTCTAAAATCAATAAAAGCATATCCTCGGGTAAGGATTAAAAATTTTTTAATGAAAATGAAGTGAAGATTACCCTACTGTTGTAGCTGTGATAGATTTGACATAAAGGGAGAGATTGGGGCAGGGCTATGGGTATGGAAATTTCTGCAGCAGTTGAGAGAAGAAACAAGGACCAGTTACCAGTTGATTTTGAATTTCTGATCCCTGTAGACAGCTCCAGTGGGAACTGTGGCAAATGCCAAGAATATAAAATAGACCACTTCCTCCAAGATCTCACACACCAGCAGGACTAGACCCAGAAAGGCACCAGTGGGCAAGTGCCCAGTACAGAGAACTGTGGACTGATAACAGCCACCTTTGAGGGAGGCTCCAATGGTGGGTTAAGATTTAGGAATCCTGGAAAGAATAGGAAAGGCCTGGGGCAATAAACTAGAAAGAGGAAAGGAAGGACAGCCTCCATTGTCTAAACCTTTTTTTGCCTCTCTTGAGAAAGTGTGACCACAAGGAGAGCACTGCTGCCTGGTCAGTTTTGATGACATTAAGGGTTGCACATTTGGGAGGGGGTGTATTTTAGAGACTGATCCAGTAAATGGTTATTGTTCAAGTATCAGGTTTTGTTTCAGGGTAACAAACAAAATACCGGTAAATTTTTTAGTAGAAGCCAAGCTCAGTAAGCATGCTCAAAAACTAACCCGAAGGTTAGGAAAATAAAGTCCCTTAGATGTCCTCATCCCAATCCCTGGCTGCTCTACTTGTGGCCCTTGGTCCCACCACTCTAGCAAGCTCTGTTTCCTGGGCCTACAACCCTTTGCTTTTCTCCTGGGCCTTATTTAAGCCCCACCTTTCCCTCACAGGCCTTTGGTGCTCCTGCATTCAGGCTCCCGGCACTGCCTCCTCTGTCTCCTACAGCACTTTCCGCTGGATGGCTCCCATCCTTTCTTCACCAGGGTACCCAGTGTCATAGTGCTGGTCATACAGTGGTGCCTATGCCCAGGACTATGTGGGGATTACCACCAGAGAGGAACATTTTAATGCAAATAAGGGTGATAACACAAGCTTAAAAGTCCGAATGTGTCCAATTCAAA